TAAACCATGTAGCCGTTGTCCTGCCTATGAATTTGAGCCGCTTGCGCGGCAGTAGTTAGGGCTCGTTTAGATCGTTCAGCTGATGAGTACTGCGACTGCTCCGGCTGCGGATCGCTGCTCCTAACCTCCAGCGGACCCATCCACTCCGCCTCCGGCCACCAGACACAATTAATACCGCCATCGCGAAATATGATAGCCGAATAAAGTTGATCTAACGGCCGGCGCTGTGCGCTGTTGCGGATATTTCGCTGTCGCTCTGGGGTCGACCGGCGCTGTGTCATCCACCGCCGAGCGGTCGCGGATCTGTGATCGAATAAAGATAGCGCATAACGCTGGGACGGTCCCAGAGGAGCCGGGCTACGCCCTGGCCGATAGCCAGACAGTGATATGATGGCAACGATTGTAGATGTTATGCGACTCAGCCGGATAATTGTGTTTCTGAAACTAGTAACCTCGGCTGGTGAGAGACAAGCTCTTTGATATCGTGGCCGGCGAGTCTTTAAAAATTCATTTCAAATTTCTTTTAATCATTTTACCACTTTCTACCATTTCATGCTACTTAAATAGTCCGGTCAGACTGTCTCTTATTTGCTTCGGACTTAGATGAAGCAGAGGCTATTGCCAGAAGTGGCCTCACTTTTCAGCCTAAGCCTCTGTTAATCGGCCTCTTACGAAGACAGGCAACAGCGGCGTACGAAGACAACAGTCGGCTTGCTAACGTCAGCATCGATGTTAATGGCCCTCATTGGTGTCCAAGGACGAAATCCGGCTCTGATATATGGCCGTGTTTTCTGCGCCCGAGCGACCCGACTCCTGTTACAGAATGGCCGTGAGGTGGGGTGGGCTGGGCGGAGTGGGGCGGTCAGCACGGATGGTGGTCGTTTGAAGAGGGTGGGTCTATCACTCGTGCAACTGCGTTACGCCGCTGATGTTTGTGATGCAATTCGATCGACAGTCACCTTTACGTGATGGCAAAAATATTTGCCTACATATATAGGACACACACACATACTCATCTGCTTTTTCATCCATCCATCCTCTGCTCGCTGTCCGCCAGGCAAACTCGCATCCTATCTGCCAGAGCGGCCAGTGGGCACTAGTGCTATCTTTCTGTGCATGCCTCCAGCCACTGCAGTCTCCAGGCGCGAGCGGGCGACCTCTTCAGTACCGCCGTCCGAACACCGTCTATCTTCGCACTCGTGCGCCGCGTCTCGCTCTGCGCCACATTGGGCCGTGGTTCTGATCGATCAAACGCCCAACCGGCCACGCTGGGTCGGCAGTTCCGGGCTGGGCATGCCTCACGCGCTCTGAGGAATGGCCAGTCCGCGTGAGGCCTCCCATCACGATATCAGGCCGCCAGTGCCGCGACCGCCGCCGCCGCCACTGCGCCATAAATTGCCGCGCCGTCCACCACCCGCCGTGCGCCACTATTGTCTCCGGGCGGTGGATCGCGGTGCGCAGTGATTAAGATTAAGGATATGGATGATGATGTCGGAATCTGCCGCCGTGAGTCGAAAACGCGCCGGGAAATGTGATGTTTGTATCGGGGCAGACGGACCTGAACTGTATCGGCTTCATACGCCAGTGCTGAGCCACACATCGCCTCATGCTGTAAACCGTTACTTTTACGGGAATCGGAATTACTTTTTGATTTATGAGTAAGTAGACGGTACACAATGGTATGTTGTTAATTATCAAATTAAAGCGTCACCAAGTTGAAATAAGCGCACCGTTTTTGCACTAGATCTCGACAGGTGCCACAGTCATGCTTTAAATCGGAGCTCTGGAATTGAACTGACGGAAATGATTAAGAATAGCCTGGGCGTTGCGCATTGCTAGAAAACATGATCATCTTTATATCAGTGTCGAATTAAGCAAGGCTTTCAAAAACTGGTCTACCTTTGTTCCTGTCCTAGTCAGGCCCATCGATAATGTAACAGTATTTGGTGTCACGTCCTATCAGCCCTAACCCTTATTCTATCGGTTAACCACGATATCAACCGAAGCGAACCCAACATACATAAATACCCAGCATAGCATGACCAGTTAACATCCCCATAACTGTCACTACAGAGCACAGACCTAATGGAGCCACTAAGAGTGGCTCCAATTTTCCTGGCCCGTCCCCCAGCACGCTGGACACCAATTACTGCCCAGCAGGGAAGGCAGTATCCGACCAGCCTCCGACACACAAATATATCATGGCCCCGTATCGATCACTCGCATAAATCTTTCTGCAAAGCCGGGCGGCCCACGGGCCTCCGCGGCGGTCAGTAGGCGGTCGTGGAGGACGAATTTTGGCTGGCGATGCTGACCTGAGAGCAGAGCACGTCCAACTCATGCTGCTCTGTATATAGGCCCCTATCCATGTAAAGCTCTCCTCTTTTCTTTTGGCGATCCATGCCGGTATTTGCTTGCAGACTATAGATGTTGTCTTGTTTGGATTCAAGTCTCGAGCGTAGGAACTGTCCTCCTATAGCTCGGGCTGTTGGAAGGATCCCAGTGCCAGTGTCCTTGTCTTGCTACCCGAGACTCTGGCGCCTTATATAGACTCTGGTGAGCCTTTAATGCTGCTATTTCGTGAAAAAGGAGGATGTGTTGGAACAAGCAAGGCAGAGCCGATCTTCTGTGCATGTGTGTGGTCCGCCCTTCCCCTATTTCATCGCCTACCGTGTGGATCATTGTTTAGTCGACATCATAGTCTGGGGTGGAGCTCCTTGTCTCCCCCCCACACACCTGCCCTTCTCACCCCTTCCCCGCCCCACCTACACCACCTCAGCAGCCGCCACGCCGACCGCAACGCCAAAACAACGCAATTACGCGAGTCGAGCGGTGGTGCGCGGCGCATGGCAGCTGCTGCTGTGGCCACGGCGGCGGCGGCGCGGGCGCGGGCGGGGGCGGGGGCGGGGGCGGCCGCGCCATGAAGACATCACGCGCTGCCCTCGGGTGTGATGGAGTGCGGGCCGCCGGTGTCGCCGCAGGGGGCCAGTGAACGACCCTGGAGCGGTGTTCCAGGCCGACGGGAGGCCGCGAGGACGGGCGGGCTGACACGACCCGCTCGGATGGAGATGGCAAGAGACAGGTCCGGGACGTGAACTGGGCCGCGCTATGTTGACATGCATGGCATGGTTCAATATTTTAACGTTTGACGTGCAATGGCTCTGGTAAAGAGGGACATGAGGCAATAAGAATGGTACACGAGTGTACGGATGGACGTGATTTAAAATGTTGGATGATAATGGAACCTCAATGTGCTTAGGTAAATGTTTCAGAATAGGTATCCCATGAATTCATGTTGATGCTGGATTTACTTGCATTGACACAACAGTGCTACTGCAACAGTTCACCCTAACGGCGCATCAAAACTCATAACAACTTTAAAGGGCAATAAAACTGTGCAATAATATTTTCCACTCGCACTCTCAATCTCAAGCCATGCATTGTTCTACTTCAGCCCATCAGCGGCACACCTGCAGCTGAAGCGCGGCTCAATTATCTGCCGTCGTCGTGGCTCTAATTGCACGGACCAGCCGCACCCGGCCGAAGAAAACTGCAAACGTTGCGGCCATTATTAGATGATGCGCTGGCAACAGGTACAGATGGGAATCATGCCGGCTAATTTTCACTGTCGACACGCGGTGACTGGCTGCGATGGCTGAGGAGGAGGCGTGCACTAGCAGCGAGTAGTAGCAGCTTTTGCCAGAAGTGGACGGACACCAAACCATACCAGCGGACACCAGCAGCACCAGCAGCTAACATAAGTGGACACCAGTGAACACTAGTGATTACTGGAAACAAGCACCAACGGCTCGCACCAGCTGTCCAGCTGCCCAGCAGCTCACATCAGCAGCACAGCAGGTCGTTCCAGCAGCGCGGACACCAGCAGCGGACACCTGCGGTCCTCACCAGCAGCGCTCCTCACCAGCAGCGGGCACCGGCGGCGGTGTGACCGTGCTGACGTTGCCAAACGGCGATGGGGCCAATCGAACGGCCGGCAATGAGATGCAGTGCCGATGGCGGCTGCATGCCAATGCGTTGCACTTGTTAATTGAGCTGTGTCTAAATCATGGCCGGTCGGACCAGGGTGCGGCCCAGTAATTACTGTGGAGTTCGCATCACGTTGTCGACGCTGCAACCTCCCCCGGGAACATGCAATCCTCTCCGCACTTGTGTTCATGACTACGTGGCACATTCATGCCCGGAACACGAGACCCAGGGTTTATCCGCCGCCGCCGGATGCCGTTTTTCTCGAGATAGATCTTTTGGAATGCGGAGAGCGGTTCAGCAATGGAGTAAAGCTCAAAACTGTTCATGCTCTGAAATGTCTAGCATTTCTGGCCCTCCCTGCTGCTCCTGTTTCCTCCTTTAATCTACTAAAGCCATGTTCTTGATCTTCAGCTCAGATAGATCACATAGCCCTCATGTTTCCTCGAGTTACGGCTAAATCGATTTGCCTCCGTCAGAAACCGTATAGCTTCCCCGGTCCCGGCACTCGTTATTCCGTCCACCGTCTGAGTAAACACTCGATAGGGCAGTTTCTCTTGTTAGACTTAGAGGAAACAACCTGTCACAATTATGAGAGAGGTTGTGAACTTGTGATAACTACATAGGCTTGCTACTTAGCAAGCATATGCTATTTAGCGCTATATATTTACTATGTAGGTCCTCAAACTTCCAAGCATCATATAAAGCAGGACATCCTGTCACACGCTTTTTAGTCAGAGTTTCTGCATCTAATGTTCTGCTACTGTGGAGTGTCTTTTTCTATTCCATCCAGACCAGACAGCCTCTCTCGGCTGTGTTTCAGAGGTCGCTGCCACGTCCCGCCGCGTCCCCTGTCGGCCCCTGGCCCTGTGGTCCTGCCGAGCCCAGACACGTCTCCCGCCGCGCACGGGCTCCGGCCGGCCGACCCTCGGGCTCCCCGCCGCCTGCCCGCCGCCCGCCGGCCCGCCTCTACGGCTCTATCATCCCAGCGCTCCCGCCCAGCGGCGGCTCAGCGCGGCGGCGGCTCAGCGCGGCGGCGGCGGCGGCGGCGGCGGGCGTCCAGTGCTGCCTGGACCGTCGGGAGGGGAGCGCGCGCGCCGCTCCGGCTGAGCGCAGAGCCGTCCGTGGGGAAGTTCGAGCGCTGCGTTGTTCTGTGAGGGAAAAAGAGTGATACTCTGGTTGTCGATTATGATATAGAGACGGACTGGTGTGAAGTCTGATCGTGGCGTGTTCCTAAGAAGGAGAACCAGAAGCCTGGCAGGCGCCCGCGTCGTGTGTGGTCGTCCACGGCAGGTGCCGGCTGCCCAGTGGTTAGCTCCGCGCGCGAGTGTGAGACCGAAAATTGCCACCAACGGCAGGTGCTAGATGGTTTTGAACCGGTGCTACTGCGGATGTCGTTTTTGATTGCTCGAAATAAGCAAATGACAGTCATTTGAAGGATACCGCCATCCAGAACTGACGTCGCAGTTTGTCGTGGATGGTATCCACGTGAAGACCTCGATTCAGGACAATCTCCGCACTCCCAGGATCCACTGAAAGGTACGTTATTGCCCCCAATAGCCACACGGCATTCAGGCCCTATTGGCTGGGGGACGCAATTGATTAATGTGCCCGATCCTTTCAGAACCCTTTCTTTGACAGCATAATACGATCCCAACAGAGCGGGGATTATGGGCGAACGAGGCCTCCTGGGCCGGTGACACTGCCTTTCCCCTCTCGGACACCGGTGGGTCCCCAAAGCAGTCAGCCGCGGCCCGCCTTTGAGGCACACAGAGCAGGACGTGCTTTTCAATTACAGCCGGGGATAATTCCGACGATGTATGTCTCCCGCCGCGTGAGAAACTGGCGACGCCAGATGGGACCGAGTGAGGCTCGACCACCGCGCCGGTCCACGGTACGGCCTGCCCCGCCCCTGCAGTTCCCCACACACCCTCCCTCTTACGGAGCTGTGTTTGTATCTCTCCGTACGCGGTACGGCGCTCCTCAGCACCGCTGAGTGCCGGCGGCTGCTCCGCTGCATCGCAGCGCCTCGCGGGCGGAGCTGTTAACCGCCGGGTTCATGAACTGAAAATGACGAACTCTCGGTCGGGTAATGACGGAGGCTGCAGCGCCGCGCTCTCCGCGGTCGATAAATAAGTCACGAGTGCGCACCTCTGCAGACTCCGCCTGGCGCGCCGCCTCGGGCACTACCCGGCCGGCGCACACAGCCGTCATCAGCAGCCGAGCTGCACTGTGTGGAGACTCTCTGGCACAGGAAGCCACACCACACCGCCACTGGGCGCCGCGGGAAGTGGCGCAGACGTGCCGGTTGCGGCGCAGTTGCGTCTCGGAGTCGCGGAGGAGGCGACTCCGAGACGCAACTGTCTCGGAGTCGAGACAGTTGCGTCTCGACTCGAGGATACCGCCATCCAGAACTGACGTCGCAGTTTGTCGTGGATGGTATCCACGTGAAGACCTCGATTCAGGACAATCTCCGCACTCCCAGGATCCACTGAAAGGTACGTTATTGCCCCCAATAGCCACACGGCATTCAGGCCCTATTGGCTGGGGGACGCAATTGATTAATGTGCCCGATCCTTTCAGAACCCTTTCTTTGACAGCATAATACGATCCCAACAGAGCGGGGATTATGGGCGAACGAGGCCTCCTGGGCCGGTGACACTGCCTTTCCCCTCTCGGACACCGGTGGGTCCCCAAAGCAGTCAGCCGCGGCCCGCCTTTGAGGCACACAGAGCAGGACGTGCTTTTCAATTACAGCCGGGGATAATTCCGACGATGTATGTCTCCCGCCGCGTGAGAAACTGGCGACGCCAGATGGGACCGAGTGAGGCTCGACCACCGCGCCGGTCCACGGTACGGCCTGCCCCGCCCCTGCAGTTCCCCACACACCCTCCCTCTTACGGAGCTGTGTTTGTATCTCTCCGTACGCGGTACGGCGCTCCTCAGCACCGCTGAGTGCCGGCGGCTGCTCCGCTGCATCGCAGCGCCTCGCGGGCGGAGCTGTTAACCGCCGGGTTCATGAACTGAAAATGACGAACTCTCGGTCGGGTAATGACGGAGGCTGCAGCGCCGCGCTCTCCGCGGTCGATAAATAAGTCACGAGTGCGCACCTCTGCAGACTCCGCCTGGCGCGCCGCCTCGGGCACTACCCGGCCGGCGCACACAGCCGTCATCAGCAGCCGAGCTGCACTGTGTGGAGACTCTCTGGCACAGGAAGCCACACCACACCGCCACTGGGCGCCGCGGGAAGTGGCGCAGACGTGCCGGTTGCGGCGCAGTTGCGTCTCGGAGTCGCGGAGGAGGCGACTCCGAGACGCAACTGTCTCGGAGTCGAGACAGTTGCGTCTCGACTCGAGGATACCGCCATCCAGAACTGACGTCGCAGTTTGTCGTGGATGGTATCCACGTGAAGACCTCGATTCAGGACAATCTCCGCACTCCCAGGATCCACTGAAAGGTACGTTATTGCCCCCAATAGCCACACGGCATTCAGGCCCTATTGGCTGGGGGACGCAATTGATTAATGTGCCCGATCCTTTCAGAACCCTTTCTTTGACAGCATAATACGATCCCAACAGAGCGGGGATTATGGGCGAACGAGGCCTCCTGGGCCGGTGACACTGCCTTTCCCCTCTCGGACACCGGTGGGTCCCCAAAGCAGTCAGCCGCGGCCCGCCTTTGAGGCACACAGAGCAGGACGTGCTTTTCAATTACAGCCGGGGATAATTCCGACGATGTATGTCTCCCGCCGCGTGAGAAACTGGCGACGCCAGATGGGACCGAGTGAGGCTCGACCACCGCGCCGGTCCACGGTACGGCCTGCCCCGCCCCTGCAGTTCCCCACACACCCTCCCTCTTACGGAGCTGTGTTTGTATCTCTCCGTACGCGGTACGGCGCTCCTCAGCACCGCTGAGTGCCGGCGGCTGCTCCGCTGCATCGCAGCGCCTCGCGGGCGGAGCTGTTAACCGCCGGGTTCATGAACTGAAAATGACGAACTCTCGGTCGGGTAATGACGGAGGCTGCAGCGCCGCGCTCTCCGCGGTCGATAAATAAGTCACGAGTGCGCACCTCTGCAGACTCCGCCTGGCGCGCCGCCTCGGGCACTACCCGGCCGGCGCACACAGCCGTCATCAGCAGCCGAGCTGCACTGTGTGGAGACTCTCTGGCACAGGAAGCCACACCACACCGCCACTGGGCGCCGCGGGAAGTGGCGCAGACGTGCCGGTTGCGGCGCAGTTGCGTCTCGGAGTCGCGGAGGAGGCGACTCCGAGACGCAACTGTCTCGGAGTCGAGACAGTTGCGTCTCGACTCGAGGATACCGCCATCCAGAACTGACGTCGCAGTTTGTCGTGGATGGTATCCACGTGAAGACCTCGATTCAGGACAATCTCCGCACTCCCAGGATCCACTGAAAGGTACGTTATTGCCCCCAATAGCCACACGGCATTCAGGCCCTATTGGCTGGGGGACGCAATTGATTAATGTGCCCGATCCTTTCAGAACCCTTTCTTTGACAGCATAATACGATCCCAACAGAGCGGGGATTATGGGCGAACGAGGCCTCCTGGGCCGGTGACACTGCCTTTCCCCTCTCGGACACCGGTGGGTCCCCAAAGCAGTCAGCCGCGGCCCGCCTTTGAGGCACACAGAGCAGGACGTGCTTTTCAATTACAGCCGGGGATAATTCCGACGATGTATGTCTCCCGCCGCGTGAGAAACTGGCGACGCCAGATGGGACCGAGTGAGGCTCGACCACCGCGCCGGTCCACGGTACGGCCTGCCCCGCCCCTGCAGTTCCCCACACACCCTCCCTCTTACGGAGCTGTGTTTGTATCTCTCCGTACGCGGTACGGCGCTCCTCAGCACCGCTGAGTGCCGGCGGCTGCTCCGCTGCATCGCAGCGCCTCGCGGGCGGAGCTGTTAACCGCCGGGTTCATGAACTGAAAATGACGAACTCTCGGTCGGGTAATGACGGAGGCTGCAGCGCCGCGCTCTCCGCGGTCGATAAATAAGTCACGAGTGCGCACCTCTGCAGACTCCGCCTGGCGCGCCGCCTCGGGCACTACCCGGCCGGCGCACACAGCCGTCATCAGCAGCCGAGCTGCACTGTGTGGAGACTCTCTGGCACAGGAAGCCACACCACACCGCCACTGGGCGCCGCGGGAAGTGGCGCAGACGTGCCGGTTGCGGCGCAGTTGCGTCTCGGAGTCGCGGAGGAGGCGACTCCGAGACGCAACTGTCTCGGAGTCGAGACAGTTGCGTCTCGACTCGAGGATACCGCCATCCAGAACTGACGTCGCAGTTTGTCGTGGATGGTATCCACGTGAAGACCTCGATTCAGGACAATCTCCGCACTCCCAGGATCCACTGAAAGGTACGTTATTGCCCCCAATAGCCACACGGCATTCAGGCCCTATTGGCTGGGGGACGCAATTGATTAATGTGCCCGATCCTTTCAGAACCCTTTCTTTGACAGCATAATACGATCCCAACAGAGCGGGGATTATGGGCGAACGAGGCCTCCTGGGCCGGTGACACTGCCTTTCCCCTCTCGGACACCGGTGGGTCCCCAAAGCAGTCAGCCGCGGCCCGCCTTTGAGGCACACAGAGCAGGACGTGCTTTTCAATTACAGCCGGGGATAATTCCGACGATGTATGTCTCCCGCCGCGTGAGAAACTGGCGACGCCAGATGGGACCGAGTGAGGCTCGACCACCGCGCCGGTCCACGGTACGGCCTGCCCCGCCCCTGCAGTTCCCCACACACCCTCCCTCTTACGGAGCTGTGTTTGTATCTCTCCGTACGCGGTACGGCGCTCCTCAGCACCGCTGAGTGCCGGCGGCTGCTCCGCTGCATCGCAGCGCCTCGCGGGCGGAGCTGTTAACCGCCGGGTTCATGAACTGAAAATCGCCATCGGCACCGGCACTGCATCCGGCACTGGCGAGTCGGCGACCGGCGGCGCCGACTCGCCAGTTGCTATCCGCTGCACGCAGTCGCCGTCAGCTTTGCATTTCGATGACTTGATATGCGATCTGCCAACAGATTATAAATCCACACACGGCGACTGCACGTTCGTAGAAAAACGGCCAATTCTGAGCACGTCTGACTATATCCTGAGAAGCAGCGGGGTCTCTCGGCTAGAAAACCTTTCCTGCTGCTTGCTGGTGCATACGGGAGAGTTAGGATAAACGGGTTCGGCTGGAATATCAGAAGCCTGTGAGAATCGTAATTTAGGTAGAAGTTCCTTAGTATGCACAAACATGTGTTGATTGTTTGCATTAATTTGACTTGTTGCACTTAATGCGTAATTTTGGAAGCCTTTCATTCGATTAATACCTCTGCAATATGCTTATTATAGCTTCAACCTCGACATTGTATTAACGTAATCATCAGTTAGTGGCGAATAACATGTTTATTCACCATTGAGTCGTGCAATTGACGCAAAACACGCAGTATTTGACTCAGGCCACGTGCTGCACGCAGTGCGCAGTTTCCTCCGGCTTTGGAGCGTACACATCTTGGATTCACACTCAGTTCAA